CCTTGGGGAATTTTTTCACCCAGTCGAAAATGATGCCCAGGGGAGGCCCCGCCCATTTCCCCCCCTGTTTTGGAAATCCTTTGGGGTACTTTGGCAGAGGGGTTGGTTGGGGATTTTTTTGGGGGGGGAAAAAACGGGGGGGGGGGATCCAGGTACCATGGGGGGGGAAAACAGCAGCTGCGTTCGTGGGATTCAAAGGAGGGTTAATTGGTCCACCAAGCGGACATGGGGCAGCTTTTGTTAGGGTTTTCCTGTGGGGAAAGGGATTTGGGTAAAACTGCTGTACGCTTGCCAGTTGTGGATCACATAACTTAAGCGTTGGATTGGATGAGCCCTGTTTCCCCCCCCCCCCCCCCCGGCGGGCGGACCTTCCCAAACTTCTCCCGCGTACACATACCTCTTCCTCGGCGCCAGGCGGGGGGACAGGTTACCGCCTACAAAAAAAAAAAAAACACGATACGCATGAACCCTATCGCCTAGCGCACGCCAAAATTATGAGTCAAAGTGGGGGTCCAACGGCATACTGTATCGTTTAGACGCTTCGTAGTCGCTAACTTTCATGCGTATGGAGGGTTCCCCTGCTGGTGATCGGCCCTATGTAACGTTCCGCGACATGCTGCATGTGGCAACCAACAAGTTTCATGATTTTCGTCTACTGGGGTCCCCGGTATACGCATAATCTATCCATCAGCTTGGTAATGACACATATTGCCGCGAAGTAGCCCTGCTGACCAAGCGACCACGGGGAAACCAACAAAGTTGGCCTTCACCAGCAGGGCGTCAAAAAGTCTGATTTTACAGCGAGGCAGGGCACAAAGCCTCCCCTTTCTTTCTCACCACATCAAATAGCTCCGGCTCTTGCTTGAACTTAGCGAGCGAGACCCCGCTCTCCGACGTGTACAGCGTCTCGTTGATCATGCGGAACTGGGCGCCCTCCAGTTTCTGCCGCATGCGCTTCTGCAGCTCCGACAGCCTGGGAGCGCCCGATCCAGACCCTGCCGCCGCCGCCGCCGCCGCCCGCCCGGCTGTGTTGCCTCCCCCAGAAGGTCGCGACCCTTTCGTTTGCACGGGACTTATCGGCATCTTGTCGTTGTTGGTGCTGCTATTGTGGCCCACCTCCATTGCCTTCTTGGGTGTCTTGGTGCGGTGTCGGTTCCTGCTCTCGACGGGTGGCTCCCGTTCAGCATCGCGCGGCGGAGGCGCTGCTGACGATGAAGACGTTGGTATCGATACTGTCGCTGATGCTGATGCTGCTGCTGCGGCTGCTGCTGCAGCTGATGCTGCTTCCTTTCGACGACGTCTCTTGCTCTTCTTCTTCCCACCGTGATCGTTGCATCGCTCGACCGGTGGCACATGTTCAGCATCGCCAGGAGGCGTTGCCGATGAGGACGCTGCTTCTTGTGCGGGTGCTGCTGCTGGTGCAGCGGCTGCGGCTGGTGCTGCTGCTGCATCGTCTGCTTCTTTTCGACGACGCTTCTTGCTCCTCTTCTTCTTCCCACCGCCATCTATGCATCTATCGCTGCTGGCTTCCGAGTAAGAGTTGGACACGGTGGCCTTGGCCGAACTTGCGGCCTGTTGCTGCTGCTGCTCCTGCCGCCGCTGGTGCGGTGGGCTCTTGGCTGCACTGTCTCTGTGGTTGATGCTGTGGCTGCTGCTGATATTGTTGCTGCCGCCACCCTGCTGCTGTTCGGCGCCACCAGCTGCAGTCTCAGCCACACTACCTCTCTCTCCTTCCGTTTCTCTTCTTGCGTGGTCACCGCCAGGCTCCCCGAGATTTGGGTTGTTGCCGCCCTTCCCCTTCTTTCGCTTGCGCTTGTTCTTCTTGGCTGATGACGATCCCGCCGCGTGCTCCCGGTGCTGGTGCTGCTCCTCGCCACCCATATTATTGTGATGTCCCAAGCGCGGGATAACAACCACGCGACGACGACACGAACACCAACCGCCCTTCTAGTACACGGGTCGGGCACGGACCCAGTTTACAACGAGCGCACACTAGTGTCGGCAGTCAGCAGGGCACAGACAAAACGTGCGTGGTGCTTGTGAGGCAGCAGGAGGCATGTTTGGATGCCTGGGAGGGGGGGAGGGATTTCAACAGTCCCGCGCATATATATAAAAGACACAACGAATCCATCTCTATCAACGAGCGTTCCGTCGGGAGAACTATTTTTTCGAACTGATTTCGGATCATGACCCATGAACGCACGCACGTGCATGTCATCTCTCTGCAACCAACAGAAGACACATCAACGAGGAAACAACTGCTGTACACCAAGAGCACACAATGCCAGAAGCAAGCACAGCAGCAGCAATGGACCAGAAGGTTATCGTTCTTCGCAAGGAAACGAGCGAACGCGACCGCATCCTGGACCGTTGGGCCGACGCCGAAGCTCTCCAGCTAACGGACGAAGAGGCCAAGTTGAATGAATACCAGCGCAGGAATCTCAAGCTGCTCTTTGGAGAGACAGGTTTCAACCCTCCGGTGCCAGCCAGGAACCCCATCAGTGTAGCCATGCACAACCCGAGGTTCAGCGCGGCACTCTGGGCGGTCAATACGGAAGCGTATCGCCGGAAAGGGCTGGTGAGGTGGCGAACTTTCTAGTCTAGTCTAGTCTTTCGAAACTTATCATGAACTAACGCGATGGTTGTGTGTGTGGGAGAGATTTCGGCGCTTCCTGCAGAAGCAATAAGTTGCTTCCTGCAGTGTAGCTTGAGATGCTCGTAAGGTGTTCGCTCTTGCATGTCTCTCGCCGATAGTCTAGGCGTGCGTCCTGCATATACAATGTGTGACCACGATCGAGCGGGACAATGGTCCATCTCGAAGTCAAAAGCTCACCTGGATTCCTCTGGATCCGCCCATCGCGCTGTGTACATGCGCACATCATCAGTACTGTATTGTATAGGAGAACAGATATAATGAAGAATTATAAGAATTACTCTATTGTAGACACTATAGCCGCTGCGTGAAGTGGTAAACTCACCCAGAGGTCCGCGCTACCCACCGAACATATGTATTTGAGGTCGCCATGTCCTCTTATATTGTACACACCCAAACCTGCTGTACCGCCCCACTCAGTTGTACCATCAATAGCTACCACCTCAGGCACACATGGAGGCAGTAGAATGTTCTCCCGCTAGCCCCTTGCACATATCTACGAAACTGGTATCGGTGCACGCACATTTTTCAAAGAGGATGCTTGTTCTACGATTCCAAGGGTGCCTCAAAATACGGTATGTAGCACACCCAAAAAACAAAATCATCCCAAAACTTACCTTCTACACGTCACGTTCCCAGCATATCATACAGAAGAGATACACACGACGGCTACCAAACTGTCGTATTGAGTCTGTTACCCACCGCGGAGATATCGCTGTGTGCTGCTCCAGGAAATCGTAGAGAAATACAGGTCACCTCCGCTGATGCTACGAACTCATGTCTATTCGATCTTCGACTCGTTTCTATGGATAGAGATGGGTTCGTTGGGTGATACTGTAAGAAAAAAGAGAAAGGTACCTGGTAAATTGTAAATTCGGTGTGTATTCTACGTTACAAGTACGTAGAATATTTCGTAAACTCCTTGCTGGAAGACCTGTCTGCAACAGTCTACCTGCAATTTATTTGCAGATTAAGTAGAGGCATCTGTGGCTGGCAGCGAGGTAGCTAAACGCAAACATGAGCAACGGGAGGAGATAAGGCTTCGGTGCCCAGCGCGGTAGAAAACATACTCCCCTTGTACCTCTGAGAGGCCATTGTTTTTTTACGGGGTACGTGAGGTGACCTCTACATGCGTATTTAGAACTACTAGCTCCTGCAACGGTTCTGCAAGTGCACACACACTTCGTTCTCGCGCCATATACTGTCATCGCGTGCTCCTTCGGCGCGTTGTTTCTCTCCCGCGATAATTTTTTCCACTACCTTCGCACTCCGGACTGTGTCCAGCAATATCGAATCCCACCCACCCGACGGGGCCCCTTTCATCAGCGCTCGGGCCTTTCTCCACGCCTTGAACCTTTGTCTGTGCAGCTCTCCCGAAGCCAAAAGGAAGTGATCGCCCTCGGCGTTTCTCTCTCCAACGGGTGCCCCCACTGCGCGTACATCCACACGGCCATGGGTCCCGCCGCCGGCGACGACGTGGAGTTCGGCAGTCTGCGGCTCTTCTACCAGACTCGAGACGCCGACGCAGCGTTCCCCGTGGAGGAGGGGCAAGGCCCGATGAGCAACAACGCGCTGGCATCTTGGTCGATCAGGCACCGGGACGGGAAGGAACAGGCTGCTCCCTGCACCGTGAGTAGCGGAGAGCCGTGAAAGACGAACGTAGAGAGAGGGTACAAGAGGAGAAAGACGAATCGGATTTCGAAAATTTTAGGGAGAATTCTAACACAACAATATCATTGTGTGCTTCCGTGGCAATGGTGCTGTTGCTCAAACTCGCACTTTTTTTCGACCCTGCCTGCACATCCACCTGTGCACGCCTTCCGATGAATCACACACACCCTCGACTGAGCTTTTTCTGTGCCTGTTGCGCTTCAACGGGTGATCGATCGAACGTGTCCTAACCCCGGACAACCTCCGCCCCTTTTTTCATCCTCGTTCTTGCCCGTGGTTCTTCCCTCAGCGGGAGCACTTGCCAGAGGTTGTCGGGACGGCCATGCTGTTCGACATCCTCAACCGCGTCGTGGACACGTGAGTCATCGTGGGCTACCATGTTCGTTCGTAGAGATGTTTCCAAGGTGATTCTTAGTTGGTCGAAGTATTTACGCTTTCACCCTCCGCACCGCGGTTAACGGCTCACGAACAACGGTTGAACGGCAAGGGGAACCAGTAACGGCTATACATGCCCCCGCATGGATGTATTGAATAGGCCTAAAGCTGCATCTCAATGCCCCCGGGTCACCACCACTACCACGATCACGCCTATGCTTGAGATCGCTCCCACGCGTTTGTAGGTGAAGGGCGACCCAACCGTGCGTATTGGCCTGGGTTGATTGTTCGCTTTTGTTTCTTTCGACTTGATGATGCCCACAGGTTTGTCTCGAAGACGGAGGCCGGGCCGATGTTCCCGCTGCCAATGCGCATGATGATGAAGGTCCAGCCGGCAGCCCCGCTCCTGCAGCGGGCAATGAGCTGGATGATGTCCTGGATGATGCACGGGGAGGACGGCAAGGTCGAGGCCGGAAAGGTCTTGAAGGAAATCAACGAGGTATGTATGTCATGATTCGGCAATTGTTCGTTGGAACCTGTCCTGTCTCCCCTTGTTGGTTTCGATTTAGACCTTGGAGATCAACGAGGCTTGTGAAGACTCGCGTTCCTCAATTGTAATGTCTCTCCTTTGGCTTTGGTGTGGAACTTGGTTGAGCTGGGCGTTCGTCACCTTGGATGCTACAGGATTCGAGGGGATCGACAAGGTTCGTGATCGTTCGGGGCCTGTCCTTTCTCCCCTGGTTTTGGAAAAGGTCTTGGTTGCTTCGGGCTTTTTTTGTCGCCTTAGACTAGATGGTACGCTGGACGGGGTTTCATTGGTTCCCAGATTGTTTGTCCGGAACGATAGGTAGATGATGTGTGTTGCGTTTTCAGCTCTTTTCTCCGGGATTAAGGCAAAAGGAAGGGGGAGTTGCCTACCTGTAGTCTGCGACGAGCAAGTTGCATGAGAGTTTTGGAGAGCTTCGTTCGAGTGCGTTCATTGGAAGGCCGATTTTACCTCGACGACCCTATTCCTTTGCCGCGATATTTCTCTTTGGCGATTTATAGTTCACAATCGCTTCGCAGAGCGGTTAAAGTTTCTGAAATTGTCAAGGACCAAGTTTCTTTTTGGTCACGGAGCTGTTCGGAGCGATTTTCGTAGATGAACATGTCCCGGACCGCTCTGCTTACAACAAAAAGTAATCTCTATCAATACGTCTTCTTTTTTTGTATATCTAACCTTTCACTTGACTCGAGCAATCCCCCACACTCACACGTTCACACCACGCCTGAACAGGTGACCCCAATCATCAAAGGTTTCCAAGGCTGCGCCGACGAGACGCCGATGGCGCTTCCCGAGCAGCTCTCATGGGCCGCCGGCGGAGACGAAACCATCGCGGCGGCCTTCGCCTTCCTCGCGGCCGAGGCAGAGCTGCTGGCACGCACCTTCGTGCCTCCCGCCGTCAAGTCGTTCACGGAGTCCTGGGTTTCCTCTTGGGACGGAGGCGCTGCTCAGATCGGGGGGCTGGAGGAATGGCTGGGTCCTGCGGTGAGAGTTTCATCGTGCGTAGTGGTTCCTTTACACAGTTCGTTGTTGTGATCGACCGACCGCGCTATCCACCTGATCAAAAACAATTACGTCAGCGCGCGTGTGTGGAACAACTGTCTGTTGAAAGAAGCCCCATGGGGCCTGGAACAATACTATGTAGATTACCCGCGCAGAGCGAAGTGAGAGATGGGAGCTGACAGAATTTGTGGAAACTGTTGATCGTTTTTGTAAGCACACCAGTCGTGCTATCTGTGTCCTTTCGGGTGGCGGCTCAACCTCGTTTCTCCTCCTCCTTTGCTTGCTCTCGACCGTCATGCGCATAACCAAGGTTACCGCGAGCGGCCTCGGCGAGGAGGATAAAGGGGGTGTGGTGATGCTGAGGTTGATGTTGGTCACTATTGTGGCCAGCCATCGAACCGATGACACCCTGCTCAGCGAGTGCCAGGTAATTTATCGGATTTGCGCAAGATGACGTTTAACTCCGGTATTCTCTGCAATATTTGTCTATTCTTGTTTGCAACAAATCGGTGTCGATCACTGCCCAGTAATCGAATAATGCTGACTGGAGTATAGCGATAACGCACCCATGGCTATTCTTGACTATGGAACGTTGATACACTGTGTCACGTGGTGTTGTACTTTGTTGAAGGTAGAGCATGCAGCTTCTGCAGGGGAGAACGAGGGTCAATATTCATTCGACTTCAGGGTAACACGATCCATGCAAACCGTATAGTGCATTGTCGCGTATTTTCCATTCCATCTGACCTACCCCTTTCGGAGTTTATGTCCCCTGACTGTCGCTCGCAGTTGATGTCTTCCGTGCGGTCTTGCCGAAGAGTACTGCGGCTGGTTGGCTGGTTTCTTGCCCTTGTGTGAGGACGAACGTTTTGTTACGACACCAGCGATCGTAGGCCCCCTCGTCGACATTCGACGTCCCAAACAAGCCCGTATCACTGTTTCATGACGGCTACCAGTTCTTCACTCCAGTGTTTGTTCCTATACCAGTTAACCAAGTTGACCCCGTTACTCCATCCCCCGTATCTCTCTCCGGACTCCCCTCCTCCCCGCCATGTCCGCGCGTTTTTTCACTGTCTGCATTCGACGATTCGACCGAAGGCAATTCACGGGTTTCGTGGCACCCACGCAGCGGTCCTTTGGTCTGCGTTCCTCGCCGGGCAGCGGTCGTGCCAGCTGGCCATCGCCTCCTGCCCCGCTGTGGAGTGAGTCGTGCTGACGCGACGACCTCTCATGACCGCATGACCGAAGATCAAGCTAAAAGAGTGAAGTGGGAGAGTGAATACCATGACGCAAAACGTGAAAATGAGTTCGGCTAACGAATGAATAAGAGTGAGGCAAGAGAGTGCAGAAATATGGGAGTGCATGGCTGCGGCGCATGAGTGACACGAAATCATTCCACGTAAAGAGAACACTTACGCTGCTTGCGGTACACGTACGTGTCGACGGGGGGACTTGTGGAACCCGTGTCAATTTCACCGAAGTTTCTATTGTTGGCACTTGGTAAGTGCAGTCGTTTCAAGGAGTCGTTATGTCGTAAGTTGGCTGCGCGGGTGTGAGTTCAGCAATCCCCCAGACGTTTGATTGGTCACTTTTTTCGCGCTGAATTCACGTGATCCTCCAGAAATCACGCCTATGATTGTTTATATTGGAGGTGTACATATTGTAGACCCTCCCCAACGCTTCCCGTCGATATTGTGATGTGAAGCTCTTGCGTTATTACCTTTCTACAGGTTTCGCGTGCATGTATCGAGACCCCCGGAAAAAAAACCGTAGCGCGTTGTTGAGGGCGGGTAATGTCGGGGCGGTTGTCCTTTTTTTTTTTCGTGGACAAGGGAATTGGAACATGTGCTACCGATCCTCGTTGCGCACAGATGAAACTTGCACCGCGAGCAGCAAGGAGTGAATGTATCTGTTAGTGCTGCGTTCTTGAGGTGATTCCTGAATGAACTCGTTCCGAGCTGGTACTGTGCGTCACTTTTTGGAACGGACCAAAGTGGTGGCGAGGAGCCGACTTTGAACAGCAGGTGCGAACGCGTGCGAGGTTATGCAAGGTTTCGCGGGTTCTTTGGTGGGTGTTGTTGATCGAATCATTATCAACACCGTAATTCCAGAAGTTGTTGGCAACATGGGCAAATGTTCTCTGCCTGTCCGCTGGGCGATCAGAATCATGGGCCGGTGTTTAGAGCATGCAGGTACTCCGGTGCGTCGGAGCGCTAGGCGCATTCCTGTGTTTTTCCCTGAGACAGTTGCTTCAGATCATCCCACGCTGGAATGCTCCCGCGAAGAGGGAACGATCCCACCGGCCGGCTGACCAACACAATGCGTCCACCATACAATAGCCAGCCAAAATACGACAAAGACGGTTGGTACATTAGCGGAGCCGCGGAGGACAAATAACGGTCCATCCAGCCTCGGCTTCAGAAATAAAGGCCTGCGTTGTGCAAGACAAAATGACACAACACCACCACCTATTGCTGTAGGAGGTGCGCTGCTGCAATAGTTTCGTATTATTGCCCCTTACCCAGATCATTCAAGTTCAATGAAAGTTTGGAAATGGTTGGGTGAGCCCTCCTGGACGGACAGGAAGGCCCCGTCGTGAAGGTACTCTTTGGGCCTGGGCATCTCGCTATGTATTTGCCCAGACCCAAAGGGTTTGAATGATAAGTAAGGTCTTGAACAGGAAAAGTATTTGTAGGGCGGGTGGGATGGTCTCAATATTTGCCGGAGCGAGAAAGGGGACTGAACAAGGTAGAGTCAACTTTCAATATGCTTCTTGAGATATCTGACTCTTCCCGACTTCCGAAATATGGATTCGTTTCAAATCCAGATTACTACGCGTATCGCGGCCAAGTATGCAAACAGGACTTGCTACCGCCTTCACTGAAACCACAATGTTTTTGGCGACGCGGGGCCGAATCCGTACGTTCGAACTCCGCCATTCCACCTACGTCCCTGCGCGCGGCAGCGTGCAGTTGCTTTTCCGGATCAACATGGCACGGCACGGCTCGTTTTTTTTTCAAAGAAAGAAAACATATCATCGGTCATTATCTATGCTAGTACGGACCAAGAACACCTTCTCAGTCAACGATTTTCCCCCAATCATCAGGAACAGCTGTAAAGGTGTGAATAGCGCAAGCACGAGGGATCCTGCGATCTCTCGTAACCTCAGCTCTGCGTCTGGGGCCATGTGTCTGCTTCCGAAACCCGTTCCCCCCCCCTTTCACTCCGGCTAGCGTCTGAACCTCGAATGAAAAGCGCTCCTTGACATCGCCGGGATGAACCTCGTCGCGATCACATGACTGCCAAGGACGTGTGCATTACGACGGATGCACGTGTGGCTGTTACGTTTCGCTCGTACGCACATCGGGAGTTTGGGCATTGAGCGGTGTGTGGACATAAGAGCGCGGTGGTTCTCTTCTGCCAGTAGACACTTGCTATGGTATCTGGACCGTATTGATTGGCCGTTCGGTCAACGATACGCGTTAGTTCGCTTCACTCGTAGGCACTCACGGTTACTGGGCATTGAGTGGTGTTTCGTTGCCACAGCCTCGCTTCGCTCGTAGGGTAACTTTGGGGTTTGAACCGCAAACAGTGCTCGATCAAGTGCATGACTCTCGCTTCGGTGGAAACTAGATCCAGTCCAAACATCCTAAAGGAGGAGGAACGTTCTATAAGCCGATGTAGGGGAAATATACTCGGGGTAGCGTGAATGCCAAGAGAAAAGAAGTAGAAATTCAAACATTCTATCGAGCCACACGCAAGACAGAGTTCAGAAGGATGACCCGACAGACCCCACAAGTAGACCGTATCCACAGATGGCATGCTTCAGAACCGAACCGCGGTACATCGGGGACCGCGTTATTGGGGATTGGTATCGCAGGTTGCCTCGGGCAACCGTGCTCGTCCTTAACGAAATTCTCTAAGGGAAACAGATATTGAGTGAAGCCGTCGTTCTGAAGGTCGTTCCTGACATTCTCGCCACAGGACCCACAGCAAGGAAGAAAATATCCAGGATAAAGAATATATTGTGCGGGGGGATAGTTTGGGTGTGACACGTGAGGGATCAATATTCGGCTCTTTCCGGAAACATATGCCGACGACTGCATTCGAAGTGGAAGAGACATCGGAACCTTGTGGGTAACGCCATCTCTAATAGTGTGTACTTTCTCGACGGTGCGCGAAGCAGGATTGATTGTCTCTTGTGGGAATTGTTTGCAAGGAAAAAAACGTTACCAGGACACTGGGTACAGAGCTCCCAGGGTCCCTTCAGGCTGAACTCCATATCGCATGCCTTGCTAGGTCCTGACCAGGCCAATTGGCTGATTATGACCATCTTTTGACTTCTGTGGATGGCGACCACTAAGTACCACAAGTCTCTTGGCATTAAAAAATACGAGCATTCCTCTAAACACCTAGTGAACTCAGAATACCTGTACTTGATAAGACGAATGCAATGTACGATTGATTTATGGCTTCGACGATTTTCGTACTTCCGCACATCTTTTTGTCGCGGCAGGGAATGCCTTGTTGCGCTCGCTTCTCAGGAGCACCCAGGGTGCTTGTTGGTACACCATTGGGCATGCCCGAGGGTCGCCAGGCATCCGTGGCACGTGCAATCGATTTCGCACAGGCGCATCCCGGACCTAAAAAGACTTCGAAGGAAATAATAAAGATCTTCGCACAAGCAGCTACACTTTGGCTCCTACCCAGCAAACACATGTATGTTCACAGGCAGTCGAACGCAACGGGCTACAGTAGTAGGACCTGCCGCAAGGACGTCGCTTGTTAGAAGCACGCCCTCACGCACGCACGGAAAGTCACGGTGAGAAAAAAACTGTGTTATCGTTTATTGACGGGATGCGAGATATGTCTTGCGTATGGTACGGAAACCGGTACTACCGAGCGTGCATACAACCAGCTACAACCACACAGCCGTGATAGCCATGGCCATGGCCTCTTGCGTTGTTCCCGGGAGGCAAGCCACCCAACTCCCGAAGGGGAGCCTTGTAAAAAAATATCTACTGAAAACGCTCCCCCGCCTTGCCCCCGCCCGAAAAAACACCGAAGGGTGAAGCACTTCAATCTTGAGACGCTCCCGGTTGTCAATTTTTCGCCAGATATTGTGTGGTTTTGCCAGCGGCCCCGCGAGTGTTCATCGGAGGATCCGATTGTTATGGTACCGTAGGTGCTGCCGTTTCTGCAGTTGGTACTAGTTTACCAAAGACAAATTCCATCAACCCCAAATCAAGCACTACTTCCTGATACTCTTGTTCATAGACACACCGGTTGTTTGTGCTGTTGAAGGTCTGCCCGTGCGCAACGGAAAAAATGCCGTATGGCACCCCAAGAAGGCTGTATCTCAACGCGGTGGTGCTGGTTTGCGTTCAAAAAACTCGCCCGCGCGGTGAAACCGTGTTATGAGGTGTCGAGCTGTCTTGGTATGTTTGTTTAGGCTGGCGTCTGCTTTCCTGCACATACATACATCCTCTTGCTGTAGTCTACCCCCTCTGCTTAAACTCCCCCGTAATCTTCCTCCCTCACTCCCTGCCTATCTCTCTTTCTTGCATTTGTACCACACTGCTCATGGTATGGTGTGTGAGGGTGCGTGTGCTGCGTCGGAGTCACAAATGCTCCTGTTTCGAATGTACGTGTACCAGTGTCGTGCATTACTACAGATGAAGCTGCTTCCCTTTGGCTTTGTTCGGTCCTGTGAGCAGGACTGGGCTAAGTGTAATTTATATGTAGTGTAGGCAAGTGAGGGCATGCAAAGTATAAGAGGATGCGAATAGGGTCTGAGGATCTAAAGGAGGTTGAGGTTTTTCTATGGTTGAAATTTTGGGTCTGTCGGGCAAGAGTTGGATTGTTGGAGACAGATAGAGAGCGAGGTGACCCACTGCCCGTCCGTTCGGTGTTTGCATTCCCCTGCTGTTCCCTGCCCAAGAAGGCGTTAAAAACAAAACACTCTATGATCGCGGACACCTTCGAGACGCTCGCATACACAATCCCACCGGCAAATCACACAAATATCTGCGGAAGAAAGAGGCCACTGCCGACCGACCTCTCCAAATTAGCAAATAAATTATTACGTTTCGAAGTCATGCAATAAGTTTTGTGGGAGTTCAATACTTCGACACAGAACAGAACACAGAACCCCGGGTACGCAGCACGAGTTCTCCCGTCGGTCTGTCGTCCGTCGGTCCCCCTTG